GTGTGTGAAAGTAGTGATTCATTTTCCCACCCTTCACCTGAGTATTATATCTTAGATTTAGCCTTTGGGGTTTCATCCTGTCTAGGCACAGGTATACAAAATCTTGTTTGTTTAGTAAAAACACTGCCTTTTTTTTTTTTTCTTTTTGAGACAGGGTCTGGAACTGGCTATGTAAACTAGGCCAACCTTGAGCTCTTGGAGATCTGCCTCCCTCTGCCTCCTGAGTACTGGGGTTAAAGGCATGCACTGTCATGCCCAAGTAAAATACTGCTTTTCTGAAACAAAAGTGATACGAGTTCATTCTTAAAAACTTAACTGTACGTCAGTAGAAATATCTCATACATTATTTTCACAAAGGAGTTGCTGAACCACTTGTTTAATAGCTGACATTGACATGAATATCAGGTTGGAGATTTGCAGCTAGTTGTTGCTGGTATTTGCTTAAGAAGAGTTTATTTTGACTGTAGGCAGCAAACATGTACTTATTAAATTTTTCTCCTTTCCATGTTATCAGTTCAACATTTTAGTATATTTTGGGCTTTGTCATAAAAGTTTTGCACTTTGAACACAGTTCTGTGGTGTATCTGTTTCCATTCGTGTTAATGGATGGAGTTGATGGCACAAATCTGGTGCATTTTATGTATTAAGCCTGTTAATTCAAGAATTTCACATGGTTCCATAAAGATAGGCATCTGTAGCAGAGAGTCAATCCAAACTGAAGAGTCAGCCAATTGGCCCCTAACTCAGGCTCATTCTCCATCTTCTGGCTTGCAAAACACCTGGCCATGGGGGAGAAGTGAGTCAAAATAATATTTGGTTTGAGTGGCTGTTAAATATTTCTTCTGCGACTTAGTGAATACTCATATTTTTTAGCTAAAGTTTATCAAGATTCAAGAGCCATGGTGACTCAGACAAGGGCCCAGTGTGGAGTGAGGGAAATGGGCGATGAGCTGACCCTAGCCTCGGAGCCATTGGTAACTGATTACTGCTGGGTTAGTGAGAGTGGATCTTCCTTATGATCTCTAGATAGGCAGACTAGATTCCAGTGGATGAACTTGCACCGAAGGACATCTGGGGACCAATGCTTGACCAGATAGGAATGAACATATACTACAGAATACATGAGGTCCAGTGGGGAGTATGTGGGGGCATGGATGGGCGTGTCTAAATTTGATTAAAAACTATTGTATGAAACGCACAAAAAATCAATAATATATATATATATATTAGTTCTTTTTTTGGTCTTTTTGAGACAGGGTCTCCCTGTAGCCTCAACTGGCCTGGAACTCACTATGTAGACCAGGCTGGCCTTGAACTCATAGAGATCCGCCTGCCTCTGCCTCTCAAGTGCTGGGATTAAAGGCATGTGCCACCACACCAGGCTCAATAAAATATTTTTAAAAGATAAAAAATAAAAATAGAAAAGTAAAAAAAGATTATTCTATGTAGACAGCACAGGAGGTAAAACAGTAAAACTCCCTTAGGTCAGAATAAGGAACGTTCGCTCTGAGCTTTTCTTCCCGAGGCCCAGACTGATTTTACTTCTTATCCTTTTCTTTGCTCAATGTTTCCCTATTAATAAAGATGATTACAAAATAATCATTGTGGCTGGATTTTTGAAGCAGTGTGTGGTCTCCTGCCAAAGCTCCAAATTTATAGCCCTGCTGACTGGCTTGCTGGTCTCTATTGTGCAATATGAGAATGCAGATGTTAATTTGATCTGAGGCCTGTTTACACAGTGGCATTTATAGTGTGCATCTAAAGATGGAGAACCGAGCTTTAAGAGGTCTGCATTTCTTGTCAAATGCCCACCCCACTCAATTCTAATTGGGACTGACCTTTAAGTTGGATAAAGAATAAAGAATTCTGCATTGAGGTATTTCGCTATGCATTGTGTCTTGCCCTTAGTGAATGGGAGGCTAGAGATCTCTAAGAGGAACCTAAAATACAATGTGGAATATATATTCACTGTTTTTCAGGAATAGAAAAACACACCATTCCTTACTCCTTAGTCTAAATTTAAGACATTTCACTGAGAAATAAACATACCAGTTTAGCATTATGGAAAGAGATTTTGAATTAAAAAAAAAAACACATTAGGGGACTGCATAGGTGGCTCAGCAATTAAGAGCACTGGCTACTCTTGCAGAGGACCCAGGTTCAATTCCCAGCACCCACATGGTGGTCAACAACCGTCCATAACTTCAGTTCCAGGGGAATCCAATGCCCTCTTCTGACCTCTGCAGGCATTTCACAACATGGATGTGGTTACAAACATGCAAGCAAGACTCATACACATAAAATAGTAAATAAAATATTTAAAACACATTAATGTCTATTAATTTGTGAGGTTTAATATTCTACACACTACACATCAGACTTCTGAGTCATAGAGAAGTGGAGGCAACTTGTACATCTTAGAGAAGAATCTTTCTGAGTGCAATTGAAAAATGTGTGCCTGCGGCGGAGGGGGCAGGAGGGAGGGAGAGAGAGAGGGAGAGCTGGGCTGGGAGTGTCAGCTTGTGTGCGATCTGTATTAGTGACAGAGATTTGTGGGACATGTATTATTCTCTGATGTGAGAAGAGACTTTACTATGAGGAGGACCTAGCACCTACTGCATCAGTGACTGGCTCAGTGGATAAAGGGGACTGACTGCAGACAACTGGGAAGAAGAAACAAGAGAGCTCTGTAGTATGACAGTCAAGAAGAAAGCAGGCTTCAGGAGGCAGGGAAGAGTCAGTGCTGTCAATGATTCTGACGGTTGGTGTGACGGGGACTGCCATAGTCATCAGTGATCTCATGGGAGCTGCGGGTGTTGGGTAACCAAGTAGAACAATTTGGCTTGTGTTGAGCCACAAGGTGTCCAGTGTCCTTAGAGTGGACATTTTGAGGAAGAGAGTTGGGAGAAAAGGCATTGACATAATGTGGAAGTTAGCATGGAGAGACGGGCATACATGTGGTCAGGGTCAAAGAGGAAAAGATCTGAGCAAGAGAATCAGCAAAGGAGAGAGGGAAGGAAGAGGAACTGTAGTTAGATAACAGTAAATACATCATGCTGCCCCACATAGGCTATGCGAAGACAGAGGTGATTTGTTCAGAGAACTCAAGCAGTCAGCAGAGGTTCTATTTACACTTAGCAGACAGAGGAGAACAGACCGAGGGAACAGCTCAGTGAGGCCAAGCAAAGGACATTAAAACACCCTTCATCAATTTCCCTGCAGATTCTGATGGCTAACGTTTCCTGAAATAATTCTCGGTCTTACTTTTACCAGGGCATAACGACTACATGTGTCCAGCTACTAACCAGTGCACTATCGACAAGAACAGGAGGAAAAGCTGCCAGGCCTGCCGGCTGCGCAAATGCTACGAAGTGGGCATGATGAAAGGTGGTACGTACGCCCGCTTGGGGCCCTGATGCTGGGGGGCTGGCTGTGGGCTCCCGGAGGCCGGCTCTTCCTCTGTGCATGACCACTGGGAGTTTGCTATTTTCTAAGTATTTTTCCCTCTTCTTGTTTTTCTTCACTAAACACCATGTGTTTTCATGCTACATGGAAATGGTAATTCTAACATGTCACTGCTGTGCTGTATATTTTCAATGTAAATCTTATATTTTAGATCAAAGGCATGTGAGGTGCTGGTAGAAGGCAAACTGATCAATGACTTATTCTGGGAATATTTTTTAGTTACTGTTTTTATTACTAATGCTAGAAAATGATGTCTGGAAATAAGCTTCCACGTGGTTGAGATGGGCATGTGTGAGAGAAAAACAGCCAGGTGATGGCCTTCCAGTGTTTCAGTGTTCCTTAGGGGATCTGAATTTCAATCAAAAGGCATTGTTGTAGAAGTCAAGCAGGTAGTACCTCCTGTAGCCTCTGTGCTGGGAGCTGTTGAATGGTTACTGACCTCCAACAAATCCCACAAAACTCAGTATCTGCGACATGTACATGTCTTGTGGAGGCTGGTGTGTGTGTGTGTGTGTGTGTGTGTGTGTGTGTGTGTGTGTATGCATGCTTGTGCTCATGTGTGTACTCTCCTGCCTCCTCATGTATTCATTCTTCCAGTTTTCTTTTTAAAAATATTTATTTTTATTTTATGTGTATGCGTGTATTGCCTGCATGTAGGTAAGTGCACCTGTGTTGTGTGTGCAATGCCTGCGGAGGACAGACGAGGCTGTCGGATCCTCTAGAACTGGAGTTATGGACAATTGTTAGCCGCCATGCAGGTGCTGGGATTCAAACCCGGGTCTTCTGCAAGAACAGCCAGTGTTCTTAACCGCTGTGCCATCTCTCCAGTCCCTCATTCTTCCAGTTTTCTTGCATGAAAGTGTGGAATACAGTTCTGGGGCTGTCAGATCCTCTTTAAATATGGTCACCTGATTGACTGATTCTCTCCGGTTCTTGGGAGTCTTATCTGAGAAAGACTGCTTCTAGTCTTGGTGACCTTTCATTGTAGTGGGGGAGAACAAACAGGCATCGTGTGACTGAAGTCAATTTCTGAATGTCCTCGGTACTTCACAGGGACACTGAGGTTTGGAAAGAAGCCCTGTAGGCTGTCCTGGGGGAAACTTCCAGAAACAGCTGAGGCTTGGAAAGAGCTAAAGTTGCAATGAAAAGAATAGCAATTTTGCAAATAGGGGCAGCTAACTTTTTGTTCCTTTGCATGTGTTAGTGTGTGGTCAGATGCATACATGGAGTTCAGAGGACAACTTCACATGTAATTCCTCAGGCACAATTCACTTTCTTTTTTGTCCAAGAAGTGGTCTCTCACTGACCTGGATCTACTCAAGTAGGCTCCACTAGTTGGCCAGTGAGTCCCGGGGGTCTCCCTTTTTCTGTCTCCCCATTGCTGGGTGTATCAATAATAGTTATTTTGTCTCACTGTTGTGATAAAATACCCTGACAAAAGCCACCTATGGGAGGAAGGGCCTATTTTCATTCATAATGGGAGAGTACAGTCCATCTTGACAAGGAGGAGTGTGAGGTGGCTGGTCACATGCTTCTACAATCTGGAGTCGGAGTGAGGAGTGTTCATGCTTAGTGCACGTTCCCCTCTTTATACAGTCCAGGACCCCAGCCCCTGGAATGGCGCTTACCACCTTCCCACCTCAATTAATCCAGTGTGGAAATTCTATCACAGGCCGGCAAGAGATTTGTCTGCTTGGTGATTCTAGACCCTGTTAGCCAACAATATTAACCATCACACTAGGTTTACAAGCACACACCACCATACCCAACTTTCTTCACACATCCTGGGGATCAAACTTAGGTCCTAATGCTTTCAAGACAAATTCTTTACCAACTGTGGTATCTCCTCAGCCCAGAGGCAACTAACTTTTAACTGATTAATATCAGGACAAAAGGGAATGAGAGGAAAAATCAAGAATGAAGAGCAAGTCAAAGGAATGCTTGACTGTCACACAGCTCACCACTCAAGATGCCTTTATACATGGCCAGGTTGAGAGTTTTGAATACAGCATTTGGAATAAAGTCTCTTGATGAACACTTGAAATGTTGAATTTACCCATTGTGTGAGCTGTGACTATGTCTTAAATGTCTGAGAAAGCAACTTTAATTCAAAGGATAACTAATTCTAAGAATTGAACAGTCACATTCATAAAGTGACACTTTGAGTCATAAATGGATTAAATATTTTAAAAATTCACCTCTCTTTGTGCTGTCGGAAAATTAGTCAAGCTTAATTAAACTCACAGAAAGCTTCTTACGGTAACTTGATAAGTGACAGGGATATAACAGCTGTGTGGAGTAAGTTGAATTTGAGCACTGAAGTCCAAGTTTGCTCTCCTTTTGTAATTGTAGGCATCTCAAGCCCAGGATCTCCACTCTCTCTGAAAGGTGAAGCAATCATGTTGTGAATATGTCCAAAGCATTAAAAAAACTGATGGTTCTCATACACTGACGTTCTTCACAAAATCATTCTGTTGTTTTGGGTCCTAATTATTACCCAGATATAGCCTAGCTGTATAAATATAAATTTTGCATCCTCATTTTTAGTCTAAAAAAATTCCAATTTTCAAAGGCATAATGTAAGTCTTCTGTCTTCACATAAGAATGCAGATAATTTGACTGCATTTGTCCAGCCTGTGCATGCATACAGTTGTACATGTGCATTTATGACTGACTGCAAGATGTATACCTTCATTAGTATCCTGGGGCTGCCATGACAAAATGCTATACTGGGCAGCTGAAATGTTAAAAAATAATTTTCCCACATTATCGGACTCTGAAAGGCTAAGGTTTACATGCTAGAAAACTTGGTTTCTGATGTAGGCTTCTTTTCCAGACCTGAGGTACCCTCATGTGGCCTCCTCTATGCATACACATCCATGCACCTTTTCCCTTCTTAGGAGGGCATCAGCCCTGTTCGGTTAGGGGCCTACCCTTTTGACTTCGTTTAACCTTCATTATCTCCATAGAGGACCTGTTCCAAATATAGTCATTTCGGATGTTAGAGTTTTCAGTGCATATTTTATTCTGTTGTGGGGGTTCAGTCCATCGCAGACTGCCATCAGAACACATCACAGATCAGGTGGTTCAATAACAGAAATCAGTTTCCTCCTAGTGCTGGCAGCTGAGAGCCCAAGGACTGGGCCTCTCTCTCTGGCTGTAGAGTGCCACCTTCTCCCTGTCCTGGTCTGACCTTCCCTCTGCCCACACGTTTCTTCCATCTCTTCCTCTTTTCATAAGGACAGCAGTCACACTGGATTAGGGCCCTATCCTTGTGATCTTGTTTAAGTTTAATTAGCTCTTTAAAGGCCCTGTTTTCAACTACATACACATTCTCAGGTCCTGTGGGATCAAGGTTTCAAAATATGAGTTCATCAGCTACACAATTCAGTACATAATAATGTTTCATTAGGATTACCCAGTGACTGTGTAGCATCTATCTACATACAATAAGAATGTGTGTCTTTCTGGCACTTTCTATTTAGATACATATCTTTTGAGTCCTGCTTTATCATAAAACCATAGGCTGTGATAACATCTCACCTTAATGATAAGTCTAAAGTAATTTTTGTAAAGCAATATAATTTGTTGTGTTTTCTCTAATATGGCACACCATGCATGACCTCATGACAGTATATATAACCACTCCTTCAGCATTCCCTGAATAAAGACTTAATTTACAACTGGAAGTACAATTATTGTTAACTATAAAATTTGTAGTTGTAAAAAACCAGATGTGATAGAATAAATATCCTCCAACTGGTTTCGTAACAATTCAGGTTCTTAATCTGGTTAAATACCAATCTGGATATTGAATCTCTACATAAGAAGAAAAAAGTTTGGTTTCAAAAGAATGGCATACCAGCCTCTTAACTTTTACTATAAGGCTGTATAAATTTATTGAAGATGTATTCTAAAGATCTTAGAGTACATGATTGTTCTGGTTAGTTTTCGTCAACTTGACACAAACCTAGACACCTGGGTAGAAGAAACACCATTTGCGGAACTTCCCTCCATCAGATTGGCCTGTGGCAGCATCCATGGAGAATTTTCTTGACTGCTGATTGTTGTAGGGCTCATCCCAGTGTGGGCAGAGCCATTCCTAGGCAGGTGGACCTGGGGCTGTATAAGAAAGGTACCTGAGCAAGTCAGACAAAGCAATCCAGCAAACATTGTTCTTCTGTGGCCTTTGCTTCAAGCTCCTGCCTCAAGTTCCTGACTGGGCTCCCCAACCTGTAAGCTCAAATAAACTCTTTCCTCTCCCAATTGCTTTTGGTCATGGTGTTTATCACAGCACTAGGGGAAAAACTAGAACAATGATTTATCTACAAGGAGAGCTTTTTCATCTGTTAGAATGTCTGCTGTCTCTGAGAGTTCCATCATGATTAGATTTGCTCTGAGCAAGGCAGTTCAATAAGATACAACATTTAAGGTGTGCAACTGGGATGTTTTCCCATCTTAGTACATGTGCAGAGCCCTCTGCATTTCCCTCATCATGCACCTCCTGTCCCTTCATTCCCCAATTGCTGATTAAATGCCTGTTGTTCAGGAGGGCCCTCCCTGTTCCCTCATGCTGGGTTGGATCCCTGTGTTCTAGATCACACAGCACACAACTTTTCAGATACCCTGGTTGTCATTAGCAGCTACCAATGCCTGTCTTCCTTTCTAGTTCATAAATTTCACAATGGCTGTCTGGATTTCTCTCTGTCCTGTTGACCCATTTAGTACTCAAGCAAGCCATACAGCAGTAGTGTAAGAAAACTTTTTGTACAACTTAATGAATTGACTGTATTCATTTAGATAATTGCATGTTTAGGGCTTCCTATATACAAGGCATTATAGGAGACGATAGCATGGATAGGACTCTACCTTCTTCCATCTGCGTCCTCACAGTTCTAAGAGAACATCTGCATGCAATAAAAATC